GGATGTCTACTGAGCACACTAGCTGTGCACAAGGTCTCTCCCTCTGGCCAGTCAAAACTCAAACATCTCCCAGTCCTGTGTGAACTCTAAGAATTGTTCATCTTATAGCTCCCTGGTGGTTTTTCTTTGCTTACTTTCTGGATTTTAGCCTAACATGCACAGCTTATGTTTCAGCCAAAGGCTCAATGGTATATTTATGCAGGTTTTTTCTCTGCATAGCTCCCTCCTATCTGATTCTCTAGCCCACAAATTCCAATCACCTTAGCCTCTCTGAACTCTTATCTACGTGTCATCAAATAAGCAAAACCACCACACTCTGCTATAGTTCAGCTCCTCACCCTGTAGTCTCATAATTATCTACATCATAACTAAAAGCAGAACCACTACTTCATCTTATTAAAATGATCAGTGACGGGTTCCAAACTGCCATAGTAGGCTTCCACTCATTATGGATCAACTGTATTAGACTTGCCCTCCTACCATAAATAAATATAAAACTGGATTAGAAGTAACTGTTTTCAGGCATTGAACAATAGGCATTGCACAGCTGTCAACCCCATGTCCACCCTCACTTCCAGCCTGGGGAAAATTTCCTGATCACAGTGCAGCCAAGTGAGTAGCCCAAGTAAAATGCATGAGTCTAGCTGAGTTGAGGAGGCAAAGATAAGAGTTCAAAAAGCAGAGATTGTTAGATGGAGCAAAACAATCAAGACCAAACTATACATTGTTTACAACAAACACTTTTTAAATATGAAGACAAAAATGCTATAAGTAAAATGAAGGAAAAATATATACCACACAAATAATAAGGATAAGGAAGTTGGTGTGGCTATATTAATATTACAGAAATTAGACTTCAAGACAAAGTGTATTACCAGAATAAATAAGAGCATTTCCTAATGATGAAAGAGTAAATAATGACTTTAAAAAAGGGTAGCCTCCAGAAGACAGGACAATTTTGAGTTTGGATGAAACTGATAACAAAGCTTTCAAATATATACAGCAAAATTAATAAACCTAAACAAAATATAAACAAATCCATAATCATTATTAAAGATTTTAACAATACTCTCTCATTAATTGATAGAACAGGTCAATAAAAACTCTATAAGATAAAAGATTTGAAAAATACTATCAACTAATTTGACATAATTAATATTTAAAGAATGCCATACCAATAACTGCAGAATACACACTCTTCTTGAGTATGGAACATTCACATATGCTGAGCTATAAAACAAATATCAATAAATTTCAAAGGATAGAAATCATACAGAACACGTTCTCTGACTACCATACCAGTGTTAAATGAGGATTCAATGAGAAAATATAGCTAAAAATTGCTAAAAACTTGGAAATTAAACAACATACTTCTAACTAACCTAGAGGCCAAAGAAAAACCCACCTGGGAAACTAAAAGTTATTTTGAACTGAATAATAATAAAAACACAAGATATCAAAATATATGGGATGCAGCTAACACAGTACTCACAAAGAAACTTAGAGTATTAAATACCTATCTTAGACAAGAAAAAAGACGTGAAGTCAATGATCCAACTTTCTATCTTGAGAAGGCAGAAAGAGTAAATTAAACACAATAGAGAAGAAAAACATGAACATAAAAGTGAAAATAATTGAAGTTCTTTAAAAACAGACAAAAAATTGAGAAAATTAAGAAAGCCAGATACTGTTTTTTTTTTTTAAGATTTTATTTTTCCTTTTTCTCCCCAAAGCCCCCTAGTACATAGCTGTATATTCTTCGTTGTGGGTCCTTCTAGTTGTGGCATGTGGGATGCTGCCTCAGTGTGGTTTGATGAGCGGTGCCATGTCCACGCCCAGGATTCGAACCAACGAAACACTGGGCCACCTGCAGCAGAGCCCGTGAACCTAACCACTCGGCCACGGGGCCAGTCCCAAGAAAGCCAGATACTGTTTTTTGAAAGGATTAATACAATTGACAAACGCCCGACTAGACTAATAAAAAAGAAAAGTCACAAATGACCAATATTAAAAATGAAACAGGAGATATCACTTATAAATCCTACAGATATTAAAAGGTCGAATTTAAGGAGAGGATACTATGAACAACTTTATGCAAATAATATCAACAACACAGGCAAAATAGGTAAATTCCTCACAAATTACCAAAACTAATGTAGGTAGAAACAGAATATCTGAATAACCTTCTACCTGTCAAAGAAATTAAATTTGCAATTTGAAAACTTCTTATAAAGAAAATTCAGTCTCAGATGGTTTCCACAGATAAATTATATCAAACAATTAAAGAAGACATAACACACAAAGGTTTTTGGAAAACAGAAAATGAGAGAAGACTTCCAAAGCTCATTTTATAAGTCCATCATAACATCATCAAGGACTTTACAGGAAAAGAAAATTACAGAAAACTATGCTTCATGAACACAGTTGCAAAAATTCTTAGAGTATTATAAAATTTAACTCATCAATATATAAAAAGGATAATATATCATAACTGAGTGAGGTTTAACCACAGGAATTCAGTTTGTTTTAACATTTTAAAATCAAGCTATGTAATTGGCCACATTAGCAGATTAAAGGAAAAAATTTATATGATTATTTTAATAAATGTAGAAAAAGTTTTGGACAAAATTCAAGACCCATTTATCTTTAAAAATGTCTAGCAAAATATAAAAAGAGGGAAATTTTCTTAAACCAATAAAGGCATCTATAAAAAAAATACCTAATATTATAACAATGAAATATTGAATGCTTTCACCCTAAGTTCAGGAACAAGACAAAGATATCTGCAACCTTGGGGCAGGCCAAGATTTCTTAGAGAGGACATGGAAAGCATTAACCACCAAAGAAAAAACTGATAGATAAGACTTCATCAAAATTAAAAACTTCTGCTCAACAAAAGACAAATATATTAGCAAGCCATAGACTTAGAGAAAATAGTTGCAATACATGTATCTTTTAAAGAGCTTGTATCCAGAATATATAAAAACAACCTCCTAAAACTCGATTTTAAAAAATGATAACTCAATTTTAAAACAGGCAAAGGACTTGACCAAACATTACACAAAAGAAGATAAACAAATGACCAAAAAAAAGCACATGAATAAGTACTCAACATAATTTGTCTTCAGGACAACATAAAAAAGATCGCCAACATCAATATCATCAAGAATGTGGAGCAACTGGTAGTCTTATACATTGTTTATGGAATTGTAGGGTGGTACAAGTACTTTGGAAAGATATTTGGCAGTTTCTAAAAAAGTTAAACATACATCTACCCAATGACCCAATAATTCCATTTCTAGGTATTTACCCAAGAGAAATTAAAACATATGTCCACAAAAAGACATACAAAAATGATCATAGCAGCTTTATTCATAATGGCCCCAAAATGAAAACAGTCTAGGTGTCCATGATTGTGTGAATGAATATACAAATCACTATGGTACACTCACAAAACAGAACGACACTCAGAAAAAAACCCAAACCACTTATATACAGATCAACCTAGATGAATCTCAAAAACATTACTAAGTAAAAGAAGCCAAATACAAAAGAATCCTTACTATATGAACCTACTTACATGATATGCCAAAACAGCTCATCGATGGTGAGAAAAATCAGGTTAATGCCTGTCTAAGGGGCGTAAAGTTTAACTGGAAAATAGCACAAGGCTACTTTTGGGGTTGATGGATATATTCTCTATCTTGATTAGGGTATTAGTTACATGGGGGTCATACATTTTCAAAATGTATCAAAGTATACAGTTAAAACATATGTATTTCATTGTATGTGAATCTTACCTCATTAAAAAATTTCCCATGGTATATCTATTTTTTAGATACATTTAAAGAAATGACCAACCAACAGTTTTGTTTTTAAAGTGTCATAATTTACAGTACTTTGTAAATTTCAATCTTATAACTCTTTAAACACAGGTTGAAAAGTTAATAGAAATGATAACAATTTTTAAATATTGACCTACTATGAGAGAAGGAACACAATTGTTCAATACTCTTGGAGGTATGTAAGCAAAAAGGTTTACAAACGTTTGTCATGCGCTATTTTGTAACCTTAGTTTTTTGATGTAGGCATATAGAAGATCAATTTTGACTTGCAGGATCAAGAAAGACTTCATGAAGGAGTTTATCTAATCCACACTTGAAAGCTGGCCATGCAATAGGCAAAGATGGGATGGGAACAGGGTGGACTGTCAAGCATATTCTGACTAAGGTACTAAGGCTGGAAAGCTTAGGTTTTGTCTGGGCCTTATCAGGTAAGTCTAATGTGGCCATTTGTAGGGTCTCTGAAGCAATAAAATGAGATAAAGTGGTCTGTGGCCAGATTGAATGTATCTTTGAATGATTCACTCTGAACTTCGTAATTACTCTAGGCAAAGGGTTTTTTGCAGTTAAATGCCATGCTCAAACCTGTGTTTAGGATACTTCAGTATGCCAGGATGGCAGTGTGGACAGAGAACTGGAAGGAGATCAAAAGACCCAGGTTGAATGTCTACCTTTGTCACAGGCTATGTAACCTTAGACAGTTTCTATAACTGTCATTCAGAAATTGAAAGGTTGAATTAGATAATTCCTAAAATCCTTTGAAATATTCTGTGAACATATGAGATGGGATTTGCAGCAATGAGAACAGGAAGAATGCTCCTGCCATAAAATTAGAGAGAAGCAAGAAAAGCCAGAACCTGGAAAGTGTCGAAGGCAATGAAAAGGGAGTTTGAATATGAGAATAATTCAGGGCAGGGCCAAGGGAGAGGGAAGAGCTGTAGATGCATATGAATTCCTGACTGTAAGGGACTGCCTCTCTCTGTGGGCTCCTGGTCTGGACTCTGCTGCCAGTCACACGTTTGGTCCTGAAAGCTGCATGAACACGTCTTTTGATAAGTGATAATCCAGTCTGGAGATTATGTTTAGAAATAATTAATAACATCATTCAATTTTTCAAGTTATTTGAGTCTGTTTAAACGTGACTATTTCTTTAAATACCTTTTAAAACAGGAAGCTGACGATAAGCTGCCAGTTTGGGCTGAAATATATTTTCCATTAGAACTCGTTCCATAAAAAATAGGTCCTGGTGAAACTTGTCAGATTTCAGGATTGCCTCTGAGCGGTCTTCTTCATCGTCATGAATTCTAGCTAGAATCACGTTTTCTATGTCCATTAGTGAACTAGCCTCACTATCTGTAAAATACAAACGATGCAATGATAAACAGTCCAAATAATATTAGATGATTCATACATTCTAAATGTCTTAAATATGACATATTGTCATTGCTATTTGTTTCCCTCCAGTATTCAACAACTTCAATAGACATTTATTGAGCATCTTTCATGTACCAAGTACATGCAAGATATACATATATTACCTCATTTTGGAATTCTCGACCACTCAAAAAGGTACTGTTTTTCACAAGATAAGCAACAATAACCTCATGAGGTAATTTGTAGCTCTATACATTTTTATTCAAATTGAAATAAGATTATCAGTCTTCAGATAAAGGTCTGATTCGATTATTGCTTCATAAGAATGCTACACTACTGTGTTAATTTTTTCCTGATGCTATAACAAATTACCAAAAACTTAGTGAATCAAAACCACACAAATTTATTATCTTAGAGTTCTGTAGGTTAGAGCTCTGACACAGGTCTCACTAGGCTGAAACCAGGAAGTTAGTAGAGTTTTCTTCTTTTCTGGAGGCTCTAGAGGAGAATTCATTTCCTTGTATTTTCCAGTTTCTAGAGGCCACTCACACCCCTTCCTCCATCTTCAAAGACAGCAACACTGTATTCCTCTGACCTTCTTCCATCGTCACATCTCTCTCTGACCATAGATGGGAGGGTCCTCTACTTTTAAGTACCCATGTGATTGCACTGGGCCCACCCACATAATTCAGGATAATCTCCTCTTTTGAAGATCCTTAATGTAATCACATGTAGAAAGTCTCATTGCCATGTAAGGTAAAATATTCATAAGTTCTATATGTGTGCATATTTTTGGAACTATCCACCTGCCTACCACACCACTTAGTAAACTCCTATTTTAAAAACCAAATGAAGGGGAGTCCTGCTTCTGTGAAGATGGCATAGACACACTTTTCACTATTTCTCCTGCTAAATACAATTAAAAGCCTTGGACATTATATATAAAACAAATACTGGGAAACCTTTAAAAGTCTTTGGGAGAAGAAGGCAGAGCAACTAGAGTCCTCAGGACCCAAGGAACGACAGTGGTGAGTTCCCTGGGTTTTCTTATTGCCAGATATATTCCAGACATGGAGCTGAAGAAGCCAGCAACCTGGAAACACAAATGGGTGTTGGCCAAAAGAAGCTTCAACAGAAGCCTCTGTTCTCTAGACAAAAGACTAGGAAAAGGACAGCCTTGTGAGAAAGAAAACTTTTAGATTACAACCACTCTACTCCAGACAAAAATCACAGAAAAAATACTCATGCCACAAAGGCCAAGTGGGAAGCCTCGACTTCCACCCTTGCCAGGCTGTAACAAGACATCCCAACCTCCCAGCCTTCAGCAGATGTGGTCTCAGGGAAGGCTTAGTAGGGGGCCAGGACTTTTATCCCTACAAACACAACGACTATGCTGCTCCTCCTGCAGTATCAGTAGAGATCAGTTGGAGAACATGGAATTCCACACCCACCTGGCAGTAACAAGGTACTCTTCCTTCTCCCCACTAAATAACCAGACCTGGACTGGTAGACAGTGAGAACTTACATCTGCTCAACAGTAACGTGGCTGACTCCCACTCCATGAGGTCAAGGGAGGCCTGTTGTAGAGTGGTAATGAGGAATTTCCACCCCTCCCAACCACGGAAGTATCAGTGGAAGCCAGAGCTCCCTACCTGTCCACGCCCAGCAGTAACTTCCCTGAATGTCATTGGAGGCAAAGTAGAGAACATGGACTTCTACTCCAACTCCACTCTCCCATTCCAGAATAGTGTCAAGCAAACCTTGCTAAAAAAGGAAGATTTAAAGAAGATCCAGACTGTCATAACATAATGCCCCAAATTTCCAGGTTTCAATTAAAGGTCATTCACCATACCAAGAATCAAGAAAATCTCAACTTGAATGAAAAAAAAGAGAATCAATAGACACCAACACTGAGATGACAGAGATGTTTGAATTATCTGACAGTCTAAAGCAGCCATCATGAAAATGTTTCAACAAGTATTTTTTAACACACTTGAAACAAATGCAATAAAAGAAAGCATCATAAAAGAAATAAAAAGTCTTAGCAAATCAATAGAAGAACCAAATAGAAACTTTAGAAGTAAAAAATATAATAATCAAAATTATAAAATTCAATAGATGGGCTCAAGAGCAGAATGGAAGGAAAAGAAGAAAGAATCAGTGAAGTTGAAAAGAGAATAGAAATTACCCAATCTGAAAAATTGAAAGAAAAATGACCAGAGCCTCAGTGACCTGTGGGACTATAACAAAAGAACTAATATTCATGTCATCGGCATCCCAGAAGGAGGGGAGAAAGAGGATGGGACTGAAAAAGTACTTGAAAAAATAATAGCTGAAATTACCAAAATTTTGGCAAAGAATTACATACAGATTCAAGAAACTGAATGAATTACAAGGAGGATAAACCCAAAGAAATCCACACCAAGACACAACATACTCAAACTTCTGAAAACTGGAGACAAAGAAAAGAATCTAGAAAGCAGTGAGAGAAAAATGACACCTACAGCAAATTTCTCTTCAGAAAACATGGAGGCAAGAAGAAATTGGCACATATTTTCTGAGTGCTGAAAGAAAATAACTTTTGACCCAGAATTTTATGCCCACTGAAAATATCCTATAGGAATAAAGGAGAAATTAAGGTATTCTCAGATGAAGGAATACTAAGAGAATTTATTGCCAGCAGATCTCCCCTAAGAATGGCTAAAGGAACTTTTATAAGCAGAAAGGAAATGCTAAAAAGAAGGAATTTTGGAACACCAGAAAGGAAAACAGAACAATGGGTAAAAATATGGGTAAATACAATACACTTTCCTTCTTCTCTTGAGTTTTCTTAATTGTGTTCAGTGGTTGGTAGAAAGATTATAAAACGGTCTGAATTAGTTCTAAATAGATAAATATTCCCTTGAAATATTTAGAGAAAATATTTAAGGCAAACTATTATAAATAGGGGAGGGTAAAAGGACATAAAGGAAGGTAAGGTTTTTATACTTAACTTGAACTGGTAAAATGTCAAAACCAGTGGATTTCAATCGGTTATGTATGTATAGTGCAATATGTACAGCGCCACTAAAAAGGCTACACAAAGAGAGACACTCAAAAACCTTTAAATTAAAATGGAATTGTAAAAAGATTGTTTGAGTTACCAGAAGGAAAAAAATAAAAGAGAAACAAAACCAGAGAGAACAGAAAATAAATAATGGCAGACTTGAACCTTAATATATCAATAATTCCACTAGATATAAATGGTCTAAATATTTCAATTTAAAGACAGAGATTGGCAGAATTGGATTTTAAAAATGACCCAAATATGTGATGTCTACAAGGAACTTTTTGATTTTTAAATATACAATATAGATAAGTTTGAAGTAAAAGGATGGAAAAAGATATATTAGGCAAACATCAATCAAAGTTAAGGAGGAGCTACTACATCAAAATCATACAAAGTAGGCTTCAGATTAAAGAAAATTACCATACAGCAGCTTTATGTAATGACTGCACCAAGAAGACGTAGCAATCCTAAAGGTTTATGCAGCAAAAAAATAAGGCTGCAAAATACACAAAGCAAAAACTGGTAGAACTGAAAGGAGAAACAGACAAATCCAAAATTTGCTATAATAACTAGACAGACAATCAGCAAGGATACAGAAGAACTCAACAACACCACCAACCAAAAAGATGTAATTGGCATTTGTATAACACTTCATCCAATGACAGCAGAATACGTATTCTTCTCAAGTGCCCTTGGAACATATACCATGATAGACCATATCCTAGGTCATATGAAAAACCTTAGCACATTTAAAAGAAGAGAAATCAGAACGTGTTTTCCAACCACAATGGAATAAACTAGAAATCAACGATGGAAAATATCCAAATGCATAAATCTAAAAAATACCTCTAAATAATCTATGGATCAAAGAGGAAGTTTCAAGGAAAAATTTTGAAAATATTTAATTTAATGAAAATAAAAATATGTTAACATTTGTGACACACAGTTAAAGCAGTCCTGAGAGGGAAATTTATAGCACTAATCTTATACGTTTGGAAAGAGGAAAAGTCTTAAATCAATAATCTAAGCTCCCACCTCAAGAACTTAAAAAAGAAAAGCAAAATAAACAAAAAGCTATCAGAAGGAAGGAAATAGAAAATATGTGAACAGAAATCAATGAAACTGGAAACAGAAAACTAGAGAAAAATAGTGAAACAGATAGCTGGTGCATTGAGAAGCTCAATAAAATTGACAAACCTCCAGCAAAACAGACAAAGAAAAAAGAGAGAAGACACAAATTACCAAATTCAGAAATGAAACAGGAGCTACTGCAGACCATGCAGACATCAAAGGGACAATAGAGGAACAATACAAACAACTCTGCATACATAAACTTGTCAACTTCGATGAAATGAACCAATTACTCAAAAAACACAAACTACTACAACTCATCCAATATAATTTGAAATTTAAGGCAATTGAATTTGCAATTGTAAAAACTCCCAAAAAAGAAAGCCCCAGGCACAGATGGTTTCACTGGAGAGTTCTACCAGACATTTAAAGAAGAATTAACACCAATTCTACACAATCTCTTCCAGAAAATAGAAGCAGGAGGATAATTTCCTAATTCAATTTACAAAGTTAGTATCCCAAAACTAGACAAAAAAATTTAAAAAAAAAAGAAAGATACAGACCAATATCCCTCATGAATACAGACACAAAAATTCTTAATAAAATATTAGCAACTGGAATTCAGCAATATATAAAAGCATTATTATATACCACAACCAATTGAGAGTTATTCCAGTGATTAAAAAACTGCTTTGGTATTCAAAAGAATCAATGTAATTCACCTTATATACAGGATAATGAAAAATCACATGATTATATCAATCAGTGTACAAAAATCATTTGATAAAATTCAACACTCATTCATGATAAAACCTCCCAGAAAAATAAAAATAGAGTAGATATTTCTCAATTTGATAAA